TGTACCTTTATAAAGTCTTAGAACTGAATGTAAGATGTCCAGTTGCCTTAAAGTAAATACATTAATCTTATGACATAAAGATCTTCTGTAGGGAATCTTTTTGGTTTAAAATGCATAATTTTTAGTAAATTTCTCTGTGCCCTTTTAATTTCTAGAAATTTAGTTTTTGTAGCTCCACTCTATACGGGAATACAATATACTAAGATAAATTGACCAAACAATACATATTTGATAAAATAACTTTTCCATTTTAGTGTTTTAAATGTCCATTTAAGTTTCCTAAGTCTGTTCGTGATTAATTCAATGTGTCTGTGCCACGACAAATGTTGGTCAACTATGACTCTTAAATACTTGGTCTCAGGGACTTTACTAATTAATCAACAGCTGCAACTAGTACTTAAGGGATCATAGCATGTGTGAATTTTAATTTGAAAATTAATATTAGGCTGAGTTCAAGTATAATTTGAAAAATATATATAACTAGTTTTTAAAGTATTTAAAGTAAGTAGGTTAGTGTTAAGCCACTTAGCGTTCCTAGTGTTGCGCGGCTAATTTGACATCTCATCTCATGGCACTAGCGCCATCTAGTGTCGGGTAACAGAGCGAGGAGAGAGCTTTCCAGAAAATGACATGACAAATTTTTTAACCGACAGCGTCATCTGTTGTCGAAACGAAGAACTAAGCTTCTAGAAGCCCGACACTCGAACTTTCGATGCTTAGTCGATTGGCGCGCGTATTTACTTGAATGTTCTGTATTTTTCGGTGCTAACGTGTATTTATAGGCGCTGCAAGGTGCGATCGGGGAAGTATTGGATTTGGCGAGACAAGCGAAGCTTCTGAGTGGAATAAAGTGAATCAGTGTGATTAATTATTGGTGTTTTAAGTTTTAATTAGTGTAAAGAAAATTAAAGTGTTAATTTAGGTAATTCTATCGGCAATTTTTATTGTCACGAACCTCAAGCTCGTAACAATTGGTGTCAGAAGTGGGATAAAATCATGCCGATTTTACCTAAGGAGGAAACGGAGGGTGTCCGTACCCGAAGTCAACGCCAGCAGGAGACGGACCAAAGAAGATTTGGTGGTGCAACGCCGCAGACGTCGGAGGGCCAGCCGCCGGCTGCAGGCCCGTCAGTAGCTCCTACATCTGCAGCACCTGACTTAGGTGCTCTGATGGTGATGCTGCAGGAGCAGGCTCGCTGACAGGAGGAACAGGCCCGCCGTTCGGAAGAGCAGCTGCAGGGCGGACAGGAGGAACAGGCCCGTCGTTTGGAAGAGCAGCTGAGGGGCGGACAGGAGGAACAGGCCCGCTGGCAGGAGGAACAGGCCCGTCGTTTAGAAGAGCAACTCCAACGCGATAAGGAAGAGCAGATGCTCCTCATGAAGGACCTTCGCGCTATCTTCGGAAAAGAGATACGGGAGATGAAGGATAAGGTTGCTCAACATGACAACCGCCTATCGGAGGCCGAAACCCGAATCGACCAAGTAAACAATCGGGTTGACAACGTAATGGCTGACGTGAAAAAAACGCTGGACGACCTCAAACTTGGGGATGGAACAACAGCTCCCGTAGTAGCTACAACACCTTCGCAACGTGGATTAAAAGTGCCGTCGTTCGACGGGACCTCTTCCTGGTCGGCCCACAAAATCCAGTTCGAGGCCGTCATGGAGGCGAACGGCTTGAATAAAAGCCAAGCCATGACTGCACTCACCCTAGGCCTGCGCGACCAAGCCTTAACTTAAGCTCTTGGTAAGAAAGTGACCTACGAGCAGCTTCTTGAGGTCTTGGAGGCGAGATATGGCGACGCTCACCTGGAACATGTCTTTCGCGCGCAGCTTAAAGATCGCGTGCAGCGCAGCAACGAAAACCTGCAGCAGTGGGCCCTTGAGGTGGAGAAGATGGTTCGAAAAGCATATCAGTCTGTACCTGCGCTCATTGAAGGGAACCTGGTTCAGACATTCATCGACGGCATCCGTGACCTTGAAGTCAGAGCTGCTGTGAGACTCGGGCACCACGACATGCTTAAGGACGCCTTGGCCCATGCACTGGAGGTGGAAGCCGTGCGGCAGGATCATCGTTCCCATGTCAGGGAGGTTGCAGCAGCTACAGTACGCGACCGCAACAAAGGATACAGCCCTAGGTGCTATGGCTGTGGGGAAAAGGGCCATCTTCGATCCAGCTGCCCTAAGCGAACCCTAGAAAGGGAAGGTGAACGACCTCAGGAGGGTAGTGCGGCCAACAGCACCGCCCAGCAGCAGCAGGGAAACGAGTAAAAGCCAGAACTGCGGGGCGGGTGCTGGCTGATGTTAAAAGAGCCCCAAGGATCTCGATCTCACAAACTCATGATGGGAACAGTCTAATCATCAAGGGCGAGGTCAACGGAACGCCGTGTAAACTGACCATAGACACTGGAGCCTTTCGTACGGTTGTTAGTTCCCAACTGATATAAGTCAGTTCCTTGGGGACTCCGCATACAACCGAGAACGCATTAATTTGGTAACAGCCACCGGTCAGCGTATACCCGTCCGTGGAGAGAAGGAGATGGAGTTGAAACTAGGCAACGTGATCTACCTGCATAATGTCATCGTGGCTGATATAATGGACGACTGCATCCTTGGCCTAGACTTTATGAGGAATAATTGTTGTGAGATCGACGTTAAGCAAGGTGTTTTGAAATGTGGACAGGAGGAACTTTTTATGGAAGGTGCGTTACCAGGGAACGTGTACAGCATTAAGAAGATTGTTCTTCCGCCGAGATCGGAAACGATTGTTCCAGTTAGTCTCCCTCGAAACGCTGGGCAAGCTCACCGTTGTGTACTTGTGGAAAGGGTGAACAATGACCTTCTATGGAAAGTAGCTCGAACCTTGGTCAGAACCAGCTTGCTACATATTTTTTTTATGGAGAACCACCGACATCTTAGGAGTACGTGTGCTGAACCTTTGTGACCGAGAACTGATTATAGAAAAAGGCACGCTGGTTAGTACTTCTGAGGAAGTGGATTGGTTGCGTCGGTCCCAATATCTATCGAGTGAGACCCCCAGCAAGGGTGCACATATGAGGGTGACCACACTTTTAGAAGACTGTCGCAGCGTTCTCTCCCCGACCGAAATGGTCAAGGCGGAGAAGTTGTTACTCAAGTATGCCGATGTATTCTCATCAAACGATGCTGACATAGGAAAGACTGGCTTAGTTCAACACAAAATAAACACAGGAGAAGAAGTGCCTATCCGTCAGCGACCAAGAAGATTGCCGGTAGCACGTGAAAAGGAAGTGGAAACCATGATTGAAGGAATGGTGAAGGATGGTGTTATTGAACCTTCCTCTATTCCATGGTGTTCACCAGTGGTGCTGGTAAAGAAGAAGGATGGCAGCATGCGGTTTTGTGTTGACTACCGCCGTCTGAATGACGTTACGAAGAAGGACAGCTATCCCTTGCCAAGAATTGATGACACGCTGGACATGCTTACAGGAATAAAGTGGTTTAGCACGCTGGATCTAAAAAGTGGCTACTGGCAAGTTGAAATTGACCCTAAGGACAAGGAAAAAATTGCGTTCTCGACGGGAAAGGGTCTGTGGCAATTCAAAGTAATGCCGTTTGGGTTGTGCAATGCTCCAGCAACGTTTGAAAGGCTGATGGAGCTTGTACTTACTGGGCTAATTGGCGATGCCTGTCTGGTCTACTTGGATGACATCATCATCGTGGGCCGTACGTTTGAGGAACACCTTCAGAATCTGGAACGCGTGCTCATGAAGATTCAGAGTGCCAACCTCAAGTTGAGTCCGAAGAAATGTTCACTATTCAAACGGCAAGTCAACTTTTTAGGGTATGTAGTGTCGGAAGAAGGTATCCGTACGAATCCGGAGAAAATCGCCGCTGTCAAGGATTGGCCGGTTCCAAAAGACAAGACGCAGGTTAGAGCATTTTTGGGTTTGTGCTCCTATTATCGGCGATTTGTGAAGAACTTTGCAGATATAGCCAAACCTCTGCACAAGCTAACCGAGGAGAAGCGACATTTCTGCTGGGATGAAAGTTGCAATATCGCATTCCAGGAGCTCAAGGACCGTCTGTGCAAAACACCTATTTTGGGATACCCTGTTGCAAGCAAAGAATTTATAGTTGACACAGACGCAAGTGATATAGGACTTGGCGGTGTCTGTCTCAACGGAATGGTGACCAAGAAGTCGTGATAGGGTACTGCAGCAAGTCGTTGTCAAAACCGGAAAGGAACTATTGTGTCACAAGACGCGAATTGCTAGCTGTGGTAAAATCATTGCAACATTTTAGCAAATATCTTCTGGGACGAAAATTTCACTTACGAACTGACCGTGCTGCACTAAAATGGCTATTGCAGTTTAAAAACCCAGAAGGACAAGTTGCGAGGTGGATTAAACTACTGCAGGAATACGACTTTGAGATCGAACATCGCAGCGGGAAATCTCATGGCAACGCAGATGCATTGTCAAGAAGACCTTGTCCTGAAGATTGCAAACATTGTACTAGGCAAGAGAGTAAGGAAGTGGTATCCGTGAGGATGCTCAGGGCAGACCACCTCAGCAACGAGTGGAAGGACAGCTTACTACATGCACAACAGGAAGATCCGGACATCAAGTCGATTCTGGAATGGATAAAGGCCAGTGCTCCCAAGCCCAAGTGGAGTGACGTTCCAGCGATGAGTTCAACCACTAAAAGATATTGGGCACAGTGGGACAGCTTGCAGCTTCAGGATTGAGTTCTGTGTCGTAAATGGGAAAATGTTCGGGGAGACAGCTGTCATTTGCAAATGGTTGTCCCTAAAGCTAAAGTACCGGATGTTCTACAGCTGTACCATAATGATTGTTCAGGAGGCCATCTGGGAGTTAAACGAACTCTACTGAAGATCCGAGAACGGTTTTACTGGGTCCACTGTCGAAACGATGTCGAGGACTGGTGTCGCAAATGTACAAGTTGTGCGGCTGTAAAGGGACCTCAGACTCGTAGTAGAGGTGCATTGAAGTTGTACAATGTTGGTGGAACCATGGGAGAGAATAGCCATTGACGTGGCGGGACCGTTTCCGGAGAGTGAAAGCGGTAACAAGTATTTCATGGTTGTGATGGATTATTTCACTAAGTGGCCAGAAGTCTTCGCCATTCCAAATCAAGAAGCTTCAACAGTTGCTGATAAGCTAGTTCATGAAGTCTTCTGTCGTTTTGGTGTACCTTTAGAGATTCACAGCGATCAAGGAAGGAATTTTGAGTCTCAAATATTCCAGGAAACTTGCCGAGTTATGGGTACTCATAAAACAAGAACGACTTCTTATCACCCGCAATCTGATGTAATGGTAGAACGATTTAATCAGACATTGGAGAGGTACCTAGCAAAAGTTGTAGACAATCGGCAACGAGATTGGGACAAGCACATACAACCGTTTTTGTTGTCATATCGAAGCGCTGTTCACGAAAGTACAGCAGTGACACCAGGTTTCGCAAACTTTGGAAGAGAATTACGGCTGCCTGCAGACCTGATCACCGGGATACCACCTGATGCCCCACGCAGTATAACCGATTATGCAAATAACTTGCGGAACAAAATTAATGACATTTACGAGCACGTCAGACAATCGGGCCAGCAAATGTCTGAGAATACCCGGTATGACCGCAAAATGAACAACAAAGGGTTCGACGAAGGTTCGCTAGTGTGGTTGCACAATCCAGTCCGCAGCAAAGGGAAATCTCCTAAGCTTCAAGCTAAATGGGACGGCCCGTACCGGATTGTGACCAGGATCAACGATGTAACCTACCGGATACAGAAAGGCGCAAGAGGGACTCCTAAGATCGTCCATGTGGATTGCCTGGCGCGTTATTATGGGGCCGATAATGCTCGGGACGAGCATGTCTTAGGAGGGGGCAGTTGTTTGCGCGGCTAAGTTGACATCTCATCTCATGGCACTAGCGCCATCTAGTGTCGGGTAACAGAGCGAGGAGAGAGCTTTCCAGAAAATGACATGACAAATTTTTAACTGACAGCACCATCTGTTGTCGAAACGAAGAACTAAGCTTCTAGAAGCCCGACACTCGAACTTTCGATGCTTAGTCGATTGGCGCGCGTATTTACTTGAATGTTCTGTATTTTTCGGTGCTAACGTGTATTTTTAGGCGCTGCAAGGTGCGATCGGGGAAGTATTGGATTTGGCGAGACAAGCGAAGCTTCTGAGCGGAATAAAGTGAATCAGTGTGATTAATTATTGGTGTTTTAAGTTTTAATTTGTGTAAAGAAAATTAAAGTGTTAATTTAGGTAATTCTATCGGCAATTTTTATTGTCACGAACCTCAAGCTCGTAACACTAGCAAGGCCTTCTTCTGCAGATCTACGTACAGAATCCCATCATCTGCATAGAAGATTATGTTACTCTCGTTAATATATATGTTGGTTAGATTATTTATGTAGATTATAAACAAAGTAGGACCAAGGACACTGCCCTGTGGAAATCCGAATGTTATATCTGATTCATCGCTTAAGTATTCACCTATCTTTACTTTCTGCTTGCGATCCTTAGTATAGTCTTTAATGTGCAGAAGGATTGATTTTACATATTTCTAAGAGATCCTCTTAAGTGGCAGACTTGGATTGCAGCTTGTAGAAATCATGAATCTTGGATATCTAATCGGACTAGCACCATTTGCTCTGAACATTTTGATAAATCATATTTCATACCCCAAGTTATCAATAGAAGAAGGTTAGACGTTACTATTGTACCAACCTTGAACTTGTGGGACGTAATGTCTAGCTGTCGTTGAGAGTCAAGTTGGACGCAAAAAGAGGTCCTAAAAGATCGGTTTTCTCATTTGCGGTATGACCAAGCGAGTCATTCTTCTTGCGCAATGATGGTAATGGTGTCTTACAGAAATTCCCTTGGGTAGCCTTGCACGAGGTCTCAAAGGAAGGCTAAGCTAAGCCAATTTCTTGCTAATTCTCCCAATATGCACCAACTTTGCCCTAGCGATCTCTTTTGAAGGATCTGGAATCAGAGTTGTATTTCTTTTTGAGTGCGCTAGTGATGGACGGACGGACCGGGGTGCCGATGCGTCAGCCAATGCCTTGTAAGACTTCTATTTTTGCCGCGGCACTAATATTGTAGGAGCGTTCAAACCAAACCTGGGATCTGCCGCCAGTAGGCACGGCGGATGACGGGATCAAAAGTTCCTTCCCCTGAAGCACCACACTGGTGACAGACTCAGCAACAAACTTTTTGGGATCATCTAGCGAGAAGATAGTCGGACTATGACTTAACATGGATTGGATGCAAAAAAGCCCACATACAATCCCAATCTGCCGATCAATGTGCAAGTGATGGACACTGTTCTCTGGATCAGTAAATGATCCGAAGAGCCAAGATTGGCATCGATGATGACCTGATAGCCGTCTGGAAGAGAAGTCTGCAGAGGGTCCAACAGGGAAAGTGTATGATCCTCCACATCTTGAATTTGCGTGGGTAAAGTGACCAGTTGTATCAGACCATATGCCAAGGCAAAGCAGTAGGCAGATTTTAATCAGTAGTATGAGAACCCTGCTATTCCGCGTGTTGGTCATTGAAACTTGTGCGTTAACTGTATGATATTTCGTGGTTTATTTTCGCCAACGAAATAATTGCTTACCGATAGCCATTTGCAACGTTTCACGTTTATGTGGCATCAAGTAAATTTAATGTATCTATCGTAATTATATAGTATTCTATCGTAATAAAATGCACAGATGTAATGGGGTGCTTGGGTACGCGGGGCCCTAATTTGCGTGAGGCCCATAGCAATTGCTACTCTTGATACGTGGTTAATCCGGCACTGATTAGACATGTTTGAAAATTAATTGAAAATCGATCTTTTAATTATCGATTTAATCAAGAATCGATTTTAGTATGTTCAATTTGAATTAAATCGGAGATCAATTTTATTTTAATTGAATCGACATGTCTATTAGCCAAGTTCGGAAAAGAAAAGGTCTACGTGTATATTTCACGTACCATGTTGAACCACTTTCGAAATCCTCATATCTCAATATAATCATTTCACCTATATACTCCTAATTTTGCATACCTAATAATGACCCCGTGTTTCCCTAGAATCTTTTCATGAATAAACCTGTTATAGTTTCGTTTCGTTTGTCTTAGTTAGGCGGGCTTCTCAGCGGCTACTCGCCGCATGCGCCCCCTTTCCCCAAGGGGGGTCGCTTCCGATACGGCAAAAAGGCCCTTCAGACCAGTCAGTCTCAGGTGGTGTAGCACTTAGGGCTACAGTGAGTTCCACAAAACCACGCAACCGGCTGCGTGGTATGCTATTAGCATTTACCATCTCCCTCCCCCGCTTTCCCTAGGGTAGCCCTTTCTTTGCTTTTAGGTGCAAAAAAAGGACAAGGTAAATGAAAAAAGTGACTTTCAATAAGTATTATTTATAATCAATATTGAATAAAAATAATTCTGTTTCTATTAATATTTAAAAAGCAAATATCAGTCTAAGATTGTCGTTGAATATTCAAACTGTTATTTTTTTTAAGTTTTAAAAAGTTACATGAAATTATAAATAGTTTTTATAATACTACATTATTAGTAAATCGTTATCATCTGGATAGTCAAAAACAAAAATTGTTATATCGTTTCCCTTTTGGTGCTGTGGTAAATAATTGCGGAACCTACATCTCTTACTGTAACATTCTTTTACCCTAGAGTTACCTGGATGATATAGATTTTAGAAATAAGACCACCCATCGTACTTTTTTACTTTTTAAGTTACTTGTTTCCGTACTTATAATAAGCAATAAAGTAAACTGTAATATCAATTGTAATAAATAAGATGTAACACCAAAATGTAAATAACTCTTACAAAATATGTAAATAAAAACGATTATAAATCTGATTTATTGTATTTTATTATATTATCTCCAAATATGTATATGAATGTTGGCACCTTATAAAAACAACTATCGATAAATTATAGATAAAATTCCGAAAGTTGAATGAACATCCCTAGTTGTTTTTCTTTTCCTTCGTTAGGTATGTTTTCAAGTGGTTTTATTATAAATATCCCATTTTATTTCGTAGATTTTTTTTACATTTTAGATAGTTTAGATCCTTATTTAGCATAGCATAAGCATAGCATAGCATAAACATAAACACTCACGCCTGTCACCCAGAGGGGTAGGCAGAGTCTACGGACTTCCATTTGACATGATCCTGACATACCTCTTTCGCCTCCTTTACATCCATATATCTACGCATACATGCTCGTCGGTTAAGGGTACTTTTAACGTGGCCCATTTTCAAATCCTCACTATTTCTTATCCTTATTTATTGTTTTTTATTATATTTAATTTATTATATTTCCTAATTAATTCGTGAAAGCAGGCCCACAAAATATCACCAATTTTGATAATGTATAAGAAGCATATTGTTTTGATAAAAACATTAGATTTGATATCAAGCTGAAAATATATTTATCAATTATTAGTAAATTGTCGTTTACAGTATGATAAAATATGATCTGGTTGTAGAGTAAATACATTTATTGTATATGGTAGTATTAGCGACGCCATTTTGTCAACGACGCGGGTGATGTCAATCGTTTTAGCTGGGGATTGAAGGGTTATGTTAATAAGTTCTCAAAAGTGTTATTTTTATTACTCACAGAACAAACAGTGCCAAAGGGTGTAGCGGGAGGCGCGTGGCCGGGGTGACGCAGTAGGTGCCCGGTGCCTCGTGCTTCGGGTTTTCCCCGAATTAGAGCTTGTGCTGTGCCACCTTGTACTCGAGTATTTTTTAAAAACATGATTTCTTTCCTAATAATTTTAATAAAATATTAGTATCAGAATTTAAGATCCTTTTTACTCCTAACCTATATGGATCAATTTCTGGAGTAAAACTTTTTAATAGCTTTTTAAACCTAAAGTTACATACAATTAAAATATTTTTAATTTCAGATTTGCAGAAAGCCATGAATTAGCAAATTATTGGTTAGAAACAATAAAAAAGCCCAACTGAGAGCCCAACTTCAGGATTTTCTGTATTGTTCTTGATTTATCAATAATTTTATGAATAAAAATAATAGAGATTAACAATATGTAAATCAGTTCTTTATTTAACTTACATTTTAGTTTAACCACAATTACACACAATACTCATTAATAGCTTCCTATTCAGACTAACTTATACAGGCTGTTATTGTGAACACGGTTATCCTTGAAACCAGTGGTTTGGTTTCACTTATAAAACGTAAATTCAATGAAAAATAACAACATTTTTTTAGTAAAATCTCAATTTTTCTCAATTCCTCAATTTTTGCCTGTCCTAAGCCAGGATGAAAGTATGAAGGAAAAGTTACATCACATGTTATGTGTACCTATTGTGTTTTTATTAGAATGTGATGTAGGTAGCTAGCACGGGCGGTGATCTTTACAGTGATTACGTCACTCGAGTGCATAGGGTATCTATGTATTTACGGACGGTGACAGACAGAACCTTTTTAAATTTTATGAAAGAAAATAGCGTTTTTTTTTAAATTCATTGAATTTACGTTCTATAAGTGAAACCAAACCACTAGTTTCAAGGATAACGGTGTTTACACTAACACTTTGTATACTAGTGATGCATATATTGACATATACTACATCTATAACTTTAAATTTAAATCATAACCTTCAAATCGCTTGGGGTATCTTACTTTCCTTTTAGGTCTAGTACATTTTAATTCAGCACCACAGTCACCTTTAGGAATCTCATGGTACCTGTGATGATGCTTAGGACAGACCACCTCAGCAACGAAAGGAAGGACAGCTTACAACATGCACAGCAGAAAGATCCGGACATCAAGACGATTTTGGAATGGATGAAGGCCAGTGCTTCCAAGCCCTAAAGGAGCGACGTTTCAGCGATGAGTTCGACCACGAAAAACTATTGGGCCCAATCCCTAAAGCTAAAGTACAGGATGTTCTACAGCTGTACTATAATAATTGTTTAGACGGCCATCTGGGAGTTAAGCGAACTCTACTGAAGATGCGAAAACGGTTTTACTGGGTCCACTGTCGAAACGATGTCGAAGACTGGTGTCGCAAATGTACAAGTTGTGCGGTTGTAATGGGACCGCAGACTCGTAGTAGAGGTGCACTGAAGTTGTACAATGTTGGTGCACCATTGGAGGGAATAGCCATTGACGTAGCGGAGCCGTTTCCGGAAAGTGAAAGTGGTAACAAGTATTTCATGGTTGTGATGGATTACTTCACTAAGTGGCCAGAAGTCTTCGCCATTCCAAATCAAGAAGCTTGTACAGTTGCAGATAAACTATAGTCTCTGCGTTGTAGCATGGTGCGAGTGACACCTAACGCCTATGAAGTTTGATATTTTTTTAGATAAAATGTCATATATAGATATTGTTGTACTTCATGGATGGGTACCAACCACTTACGATAGTGACGTGCCACTTTAAACTGTGCCATGTCATAACGATCAACCACAGACTATCAAAAATCGGTTTTGAAATAAATCGAATTTATATAAAAATCACGTAAATGTGAATTGGAATTGGAACTAAGCGTTTAAAAAATTCTGATTTACGGAAAAAACAGTGTTTCCGATGCATGGACGATATATTATTCGTTGGTCTACTCAAGCGAAAAAAATAATTATAAAGCAAACTGCGCATTGTGTCCAAAAAAACTTAAAGGGCCAAAATGGCTACAAAAACCTATTTTTTATTTTATAACATATTTATACCAAATTTTCGATTATTTTTACCTTCCGTTCCGATATTTGGATCTGGCAACATGATTACATATATAGCGAAAAAATTACAGATGCAGGCAGCCATTTTACTTGTTTAATGTCAATATGAATGTTGCAATCAACATGAAATAGAAGATGATTTTAATTTACAAATTAAAACACAGTATAATCTATACATTGAAGTGTCTCAAAATAATAGTCTTATTAAAAGCATATGAAAGTATATATACGGTATTTATAACAAAAAGACAAAAACAATTTTTAAAATGTTTCTCTGTCTGTCTGTTTGTTCCAGCTTATAACTGGCACTGGCAGATAACTGATGTCATAAGGAGTAACACAGGCTACATTTATTTTATAAAAAAAATTAGGAATCCGCGCAAAAACTTGCCGAGTTATGGGTAGTTATGAAAACAAGTACGACTCCTTACCACCCGCAATCTGATGGAATGGTAGAACGATTTAATCAGACATTGGAGAGGTACCTAGCAAAAGTTGTAGACAATCTGCAACGAGATTGGGACAAGCACATACAAGCGTTTTTGTTGTCATATCGAAGCACTATTCACGAAAGTACATCAATGACACCAGCCTTAGCAAACTTTGAAAGATAATTACTGCTGCCTGCAGACCTGATCACCGGGATACCACCTGATGCCCCACGCAGTATAACCGATTATGCAAATGACTTACGGAGCAAAACGAATGACATTTATGAGCACCTCAGACAATCGGGCCAGCAAATGTCTGAAAAGATGAACCGGTATGAACCCGGTGGGAACCCGGTATGACCGCAAAATGAACAACAAAGGGTTCGACGAAGGTTCACTATTGTGATTGCACAACGACTCGTTCTTTTTTAGTTTTCTTAGTGTCATTAATATCACGTGTTTATAATGCATTGTTTTTAATTTGTCTTAGGCGTTTCAGAACGCACTATCACTCAGATAACTCAAGAGGGTGACGCCGGGAAAAACTAGGAACCGGAGGAAAAAATATTTAGACGATTTTGATATAAGGCATTTAATTCAATCTTTTTACGTTACGTGTGTTATTATTTTTATTGCGTTCTTGAAGAAAGAGATTCTTATGATAAATCAATTTGGGTTGAAATTAAAAGTGGTATTGATTTTAAATCTGTCAGAACATAATTGATGAGTATTTTAAAGACTATGGGCTACAAGTACAAAAAGTGCCAGTCTAAACGAAAAGTACTGATAGAACGCAGTGATATTGCGGCTTGGAGAGCATAATATATTCTGAGGCTACGTAAGAATCGTCACGAAGAAAATCGACCGGTTATTTATCTTGGCAATCTGAGAAATCTGACCTGGCATTCTTAATTCTGATAGCGTTGGTGCAAGATGGATATAATAACTCCTGGTGGAGGAGGAGGATTGTTCAATTCGGGTCTAAAGCCAAATCAAGTGACTATCTAGACGATAAGAATTCCGCTACTGCGTGCAGTGGATGAAAGAAATAATTGTGCCAAATCTACCAGCGAATTACATTGTGCGTCATACCACTGCACACAGATAAACAAGGCGCTTACAATTGGCAATACAAAAGCAGAGCTCCAAGAGTGGCTTACGACAAATGGTATTGAATTTGATGTTTTTTGGACAAAAGCTTAATTATACGAATTAATCAAAAGCCAAAGGGGGCCCACTGAAATAGAACAAATTAATGTTAAATGATCATGGAAATGAGGTTTGCCGCATTACCACTGCGATTTAAATCTCATCGAAAAAATTTGGGCAATAGTAATGAGGCGCATTGCAGAGAAAAATATCTAATAATCAAGCTCCTAGCAAAATAGCTGCAATTACTGAGGGGGCGTTTAGAACAGTAACGGCAGAAGAAAGGCGTATCTCTAAATGGAGAAAAATTAGAGGATAAATATTTCGAATCAGACAGGATGATGGATATGGAAATGGATAAATTTATAATTAATGTTAAAGGCGACACGTCCGAGTCTTCCGATGAAGACTAGCATGGATTATGACGAAAATGTGCAAATGGAAGGCGTTGACTGCTGCAGGACAATTGCTATTTATTCAATAATAGATTTACAATGTTTCCGTGGACTTTTAATTTCGTTGCTTATAATGTTATTTCAGTTTTTTATAAATTACCTTTATTGAAAAATTTGTTTTAGATAAAATATCAGTGTTCATAAATGTTAGTAATAGTGATTTCTAGCACGGTTATAATATCTTCACTTGTAATTATGAAAAAATTGTTTAAAAAAAACTCAACCAACCTCTCGATTTACGCTCATTGACCTAAAATTTGCATACACGTATTAGATGACAATGCATGGTGAGAAAAGTAATTTTATTCTAAATCCAATATGGCGAACTCAAAAAAGATTGAGCACTACTTATTTTTTAATGCATTCCCATGATATGAGTATCTAATAAAAGTGTTTACTGAGAAGAATACTAAAAATAAAAGTGAAGAGAGTTTTTTTAGTTTTTTTATTATTTGTTCAGACCAATAATATTATAGTAAAATAAAAACTCGCTCGTCGCTTGCATAAATTAAACGTTTTCAGATATCTTTTTCAACCAATAATTTATATTAATGTAAGTCCTACCATAGAAACGTATGTAGTGTGGTGTGAAACTTAACGGCGGATCTTAAGCAATAAATATAGGGTTTAAAAAATGTCTTTGTAAGTTCAAGCTGAACATTACAGTTTCTTTAATGACCTTTGTTAATCATTGGTAATTTATGTAATTTGTTATAATTATGTAATTCTAGTAATAAGATTAAATTTAGAAAAATCAGTCGCTCGCAGAGTTATCTTGCACGCACTGTTATAGCCTTTTGACGTTTGACATAATGGACAATGAGCGATAGGCGCGCTCTACAGCTTGCTTATTTATACTGTAAGGTATTCGCAATGTGCGTAATAAAACGATAGGAGAGTTACTGCTCAGCATGTAATGAATGAAAAACTCGTTAAACTGACTCAGGCTAGTTTAACGAATTTTTCATTCCTCTTCGTAATTGACTTTATTCGCTAATTTGCCAGTCGGAGTATACTGATCTATATGATGATAAGATATTAGATATATGATATATGTCTGAAATATGTACATTATATATATTTCAAACTAGGCTGTATGTTAACATACATATCTCTTTTCGTTGAATTAATTAAAAATAATACATAACGTAATCTCTTTTTAGGGGTCGATTTTTTCCGAAAAAGATCGATTTTTAAATCGAAATCTAATTTATCGATTAACAAAAAAAATTAAGGTCTAAATGATCGATTTCTCAAAAATCGATCTTTTTTCGATTTGCTTTCAGATTCGTACAAAGATTACAAACGTAACTTATTTTTTATTTATTTAATCCATTAAGAAGAGGTGAAAGAAATTGAGCACACAGCAGTTTTACTATTTTATGGAATAGAAAAACTGTCGTTATTTACGAGTTTGAGTACATTCAAGTAATTGTAAATAATTTTCTAGTTCTTATGATTAAATAGATTAATTAGATTTAATAGAGATTAAATAGAAAAGGATTCGATCTCCATTTTCTGTTGAAATATCGATTCATTGGATCGGTGCAGTACTATAATAAAAAATTGATCTTTCTGGCACAAGAAATCGATTCTTCGATTAATCGATCTCAGATCGACATGCCTAGTGCCTACTCCTTCTCCTTTTCTTTCTTCCGTCTTGAAAAGTTGAAATTATTTAATTTTGAATGTTTTTGGTGGGTCGTATTTTTGTGGGGAATATGTCACCAAAAATTTCTAACACTGTTTTTAATAATATCGAAACAGCCGAAAAACGTATTGCAGATCTACGAACAAAGGTATCTTTTTCATAGGTTATTGAAAATACAGTGGTAGTTGAGTCAAAATTATAAAAGGTAATTTTTTTAGGTGGAAGAAATAAGGAAAATAAAAATTGAAAATAAAATAAAAGAATTGACGCAAGAAAACTCTGTTTTATCTGCAAAAGTAGAACAAGCGAAAAATGAGCTAATTCGACTTGAAACACTGAATGGTAAGAAGCAATACTCAATCCCAAGTAAGCAAACGGTTGATAGCTCTGCAGAAAAACATATATTGAAAGTAAAACAGCCGGAAAAAACCGTTGAAGTAGTTGAAAATCACAAAGAAAAAAAAGTTAAGGAGCCATTGAAAAAGTGTAAAGAGAAGCCTAACCCCACCTCTAATGTTGACACTCCCGTAGATGTAAGAAAATTAGATTTCAGAATCGGAAAAATTGTAGAAATAAATAAACATCCAGATGCAGATTCTTTATATGTTGAAAAGATAGACTGTGGTGAAGAAAATCCAAGAACAGTGGTATCAGGATTAGTAAATCATGTACCCATTGATGAAATGCGTGACAAGCTTGTGATGGTTCTTTGTAATTTAAAACCTGTCAAGGTAAATATATAATACAATGAAATTCACAATAATATTTTTCATCTTGATTATTTTATTAACTGTGTATTAGATATCATAAGAGGTGACAGAGGAGAAAAACAGATGGATAGCGGCATCTTCCTACTAACTACTAAAAATTTAAAAAACTGCAGCTACTAACTTGCCTGCCAATTGTGGAAACTGGTATATATTAGTGATGCAACGGAAGTGTCATATAGGAAGCAGAAACGGAAACAGATGTTAAAAATATTTTTTTGCAGAAACGGATGCGGAAACGGAAATAATACTTATTAAAAAATTACAAATAAAACTTTTAATTAACATTCAAAATTAAGTAGCAGTAAGTTATATTTTATGAAATTTAGTTCGGCCGCTTTTACGCCTAACAATCTGTTCCAGTGTTCTTGACTGGTGATTCTAATTGCTTACTGGCGATGCTGCATACCACCCATATACCAAGGCACTGAAATTTGGGCAAACCCTTTAAGGAGCCACATTTAGGTTTAGCGAGTAGGTAATTTAGTACAGCCCTATCACGAAAGTACGACGTAAATAAACTTTGAATCCAAAATACTCATTAAAGTTTCTTTAAAAATAATTAATATAAACTTCAAGTTAAAAATAAATATTTTTGAGCATTTATGTGAATAGCGTTAAAGTATTCCTGCTCATTACCCCGACATGTTGTCAAGTTTTAATAGCAAAAACATACACGCTATCCTTGTTTCGGAGTCGTGGTTAAAACCATGTCTTCCATCAACTTCCTACTCGCTTCCAGGTTTTCATTTGATTCATAACGACCGTACCGATTGGGGCGGTGGTGGTGTTGCTATTTATCTGCGCTCTCATATACCTTTTTCAGTAATTCAAGTTTCAAATGGTTCGCAGACTGGAAGCGAAGTTGAATTTCTCTAAGTTCTTCTTGGTCATACAAAATTACTTCTCGGAGTTTTTTACAGTCCCTCTCTCACTGTCGACTACTTCACCACATTAGAAGATATTCTTGACAATCTTACACCTATCTATTGTCACAGTATTATTATGTGTGATTTTAATACCTGTCTTTTAAAAAACAGCGCTAGATCAATAAAACTTAAATCTATTATTGAAGCAGCAAATTTAAAACTTCTTCCTACTTCTGCCACACACTTTTTCCCAAACTGTGCCCCTTCTCTGCTCGACATAATGTTTTGTGTCTTTACCTGACCATGTTCTTAAATTTGGGCAACATGCTGCTGATTCTTTTTCCTATCACGACCTTTTATACTTGTCATACAAAATCCGTCCCCCTAAAGCTAAGTCAAGGATACTACTTCAGCGTAACTTTAGTGACTTGGATTTGGAGCAGCTTTTAAATGACGCTGTAAAGATTGATTGGAGTGTAGTCATCAATGCGTCTACTGTAGATGAACAGGTTGCTTTGTTCAACTCTCTGTTGATTCGGCTTTACGACGTTCATGCTCCTGTTCGTCCAGTGCGTGTAAAGCATCCTTCCTCTCCTTGGCTGACCGATGATATAAAAAAAATCATCCACATTAAAAATTGTGCCAAAGCTAAATACAAGTCAGTTCCTAGCGATTTGAATAGAGAGAAGTATAGATTAGTACGGAATCGTTGCAACAATCTGTGTAGAAAAGCACAACGACGCCATATCCATGAATCAGTACAAGATCCTGATCCTGCTAGGGTCTGGAAATTTCTTAAGTCCTTAGGAGTTGGGAAATTACGACAAAATCTCACACACCATAACTTTGATCTCAATCAACTTAATTTGCATTTCTCATCTTCGTCTTGCATTAACGATAAAGCAAAACATAATACTTTGGATTCTCTTTCAAAAGGTCCCACTCCAGACACCTCTGCTTTTAATTTTAGCCAATTTAACAGTTGTGATGTTAAGAGAGCCATTATGTCCATCCATTCAAATTCGATTGGTAGTGACTGCATTAGTCGGAAAATGGTCATCCCTCTCATTGATCTCCTTTTACCTATAATCACGTCTATCCTGAATAATTCACTGAATTCTGCTTTTTTCCCTTCAGCTTGGAAAGACGCATTTGTAGTTCCTCTTCCGAAAAAGTCAAATCCCTCTAGTTTTTCTGATTATAGACCTATCTCTATTTTGCCTTTCTTTTCCAAAGTTCTAGAACGTCTTGTGCACAATCAATTAAGCACCTATCTTTTAAAACACAATCTTTTAAATCCCTTGCAATCCGGTTTCCGTCCTGGCCATAGTACGACTACTGCACTTTTACAAATCACTGATGATATTCTTAGATTATTAGATTGAAATTTCGGTATGGTATGGAGAAACAAAAATGCTTACTATTCTCACGTTGCTTGATTTTAGTAAGGCATTTAATACCTTAGATTTTGATATCTTGTTAAGCATCCTACGCTCTCTCAACATATCTCCAGCTGTAGTTGACTGGTTTCGAAGTTACTTGTTTGGTCGCCGACAGCGAATTCAGGTGCAAGAGTTTTTTTCCACCTGGACTACTACAGCTGCTGGTGTACCACAAGGTGGCGTGTTGTCTCCTCTCCTTTTTGCAATTTTCATTAACTTTATAAGTCATAATTTGTCCTCTTCCTACAACTTGTATGTTGATGATCTCCAAATCTATACTCAGTCAACTCTTGAAGATCTATCTAAAGCGTTGACACTATTAACGCTGATCTGACTTGTGTTTCGAATTGGAGTAAATGTTATGGTTTAACGATTAATCCTAAGAAAACTCAGGTCATTGTCATCGGTAGTTCTAGATTAATTGGTAAAATTGACAGGTCTTACCTACCCCCTATTATACTAGACTGCACTCTAATCCCTTACAGTAACAAGGTTAAAAACCTGGGGTTGTATCTTGACCCCTGTATGTCTTGGACCTCACAGGTTAATGAGATCGGTAGAAAAATGTTTGCTGCGTTAAGCTCTTTACGTATATTACGCAATTTCCTTCCCACAGCAACTAAAGTTAAGCTCGCCCAGTCTCTACTTCTGCCTATCCTTGACTATGCTGATATTTGCTATCTTGACATTACCGAGGAGCAGCTTAATAAGCTTGAGCGTATTCAAAATTTATACATTAGATTTATATTCGGGCTTCGCAAATATGATCATATCTCCGAATTTCGCAAACAGCTCAAATGGCTCCCGATCCGCCTTCGCAGGAATACTCACATTCTCTCCGCGTTGTATAGTGTGCTGTTTAATCCTTCTCCTCTTTATTTAAAAAACCGTTTCCAGTATCTTTCTTTTACCCATAATCGGTTCCTTCGTTCCTCCATCAATCTTTCTCTCTCTACACCTTTGCACTCTTCTTCCTTTTTCAAGAAATCTTTCACCATAACCGCTGTGCGATTGTGGAACTCCTTACCTCTCCATATTCGTCGTGCTAAATCTCTTCACTCTTTCAAAAGTCTTGTTAATTCGTATTATTTAGAACGCTATTAGATAAATTACTTTTCCTTTCTCATACTCTTTTTATTTAATATATTATATGATATTTTATATATAACTTTCACTTATTTTTATTTGTATGTATTATTACATTTTTTAGTATTATTTTGTATGCCCCCCTCTATTTTAACTTTTATTGGCATCATTCCTCTACGCAAAGGTTGTCTGGAAGAAATCAATTTCAGAGTGATAAGACCGCCTATTGTACATACTTTAATTAGTTTTAACTGAACTTGATGTTTCTGTATTGTGGTGTACAAAAAAGAATAAATAAATAAAAAATAAATAAATATAATAATATAAACTTCACGCAAACATAACTGCTACCTAATTAATTTGCAAATCTAAGTTGTAACAAAGGCATTTATTAAAAACTATTTTTAACTGAAGGAAACCACAACTTTAATTTCTAATTAACTAAAAATACAATAAATCTATTTATATGGATGCGTTGCTGAGTTCCATTCAAAATTCCGTTATAAAAATTGCGGAAACAGAAGCAGAAACGTATGTTAAAAACCATGCAGAACTTCCGCAGTTGCGGAAACGGAAACAGAGCTCTATTGCATCACTAGTATATATATATCCCCCTATGAGCCAAATTATGTTCAGTAGTAGACTAGCTAGGCCGTAATGATTTATTTATTTAAGAGAGTGGATATGTAATTAATATTTGATTATTTTATTTGTATTTTATTATATGCAATTTACTTAATAGCCAAACAGTAAAAGCAGCCAGGATTGGAGACGCAGGACTGTCATACAGCTCGTCGAATATTTGACTTGGTTACCAGTTTCTTAATTTGTTCATATTTATGGAAAGGCTTGTTGATTGATCGTAAAGAAAAGTTTAGTGGATGCAGCTACCGAAGTATGTGGTGTTAGTAAGAGAAAGAATGAAAGGAAAAATAATACGTTATGGTGGGATGATGAGATACGTATGGAAGTTGAAGCAAAGAAGAGAGCATGGCTAGATTTACTAGCAACAAAGGCTGCTAATTCTAGTGGTACGAATGGTGATATTGAAAGAAAAAAGACAGTCTTTAGACATCTTAATAAGAGAGTAAAAGAAGTAGTTGAAAGAAAAAAGCAAGAAAGAACGGATAAGAATGATAGAAGAATATCGGATAACTTCCAGGCAAATATTAAAATGTTCTGGAAACTTGTAAGAACTGCCAGGAGACATTCAAAACAGCCTATGATGAATGCTATAAGAGATGAGAATGGCTATATTCTGAATGATGAAGTTTTGAGTTTAAAGAGATAGAAGGAATATTTTGAAAGCGTGTTTATGAGTGAGGAGACAACGTGTGTACTAAGTGAAGTAGAAACACCGAAAGAAGAGGAAAGAAGTAGCGAGATAAGTATAGATGAAATAATGAAAGCAATGAAAAGCATGAAAGCAGGTAAGGCTGCCGGATATGATAGAGTTTCACTCGAAATGCTAAGGGCTGGAGAGGAAGTGGTGGCAGGCCTGCTGCACACCTTGTTTAATTTATGCTGGGAACTGAAGCGGGTACCGGTAGACTGGTGCAAAACCGTGATAGTCCCAGTATATAAAGGAAGAGGGTCGCAGCAGGACTGTAAAAACTACCGTGGCATCAGCCTTCTTAGCATTGTGGGAAAGCTGTATGCTAAGGTACTGATTGAAAGGGTCATGAAAGAAACTGATGGAAAAATTTGGGAAGTGCAAGTGGGATTTAGAAAGGGAATGGGATGTACACATCAAGTCTTTTCCATGCGCATGATCGCGGAGAAGTTTCTGGCCAAAAAACCAAAAGGTTTTTTGTGCGTTCATGGACTTGGAAAAGGCCTATGACAGAGTGGATAGGGATTTGCTATGGCAAACACTGAACTCATTTGGGTTGAGCTCTGGCTTCATACAGGCATTGGAGTCTCTTTATAGGGACTCTAGTGTTTGTGTTAGGATTAACGGGGTCTACTCGGACTGGTTTTACATCCATAAAGGTGTCAGACAGGGCTGTGTGGCTTCCCCGTGGCTGTTCAACCTATTTATGGACAGTTGTTTGCAAAATTTGAAAGTTGAAGAATGCGGATTAAGAATGGGTGAGTTAACCGTCAAATGCCTTTTGTACGCCGATGATCAAGTTATTCTTGCGTCGTCGGCGGCCGAGTTGCAAATGAAAGGGTTATGAAAGTGAACGCAAGTAAGACGAAGGTTATGGTTTTTGAAAGAGAAGAAAGTAAAACGATTTGTGAAATAAGAATAGAAGGGGAGTTGATCGAGCAAGTAGATGAGTTTGTATATTTGGGCTGCGTATTTAGCAGGGATGGGAGATATGATAAGGATATAGAACGACGAGTGAATGCGGGAAATAGAGTAAATGGGGCCTTGCACTCTATTGTGAAGAGTCAAAATGTGTCGAAAAAGGCACGTATGGCAATTCACAATGCTGTATTAGTTCCTACTTTAACGTATGGTAGTGAAAGTTGGGTGTGGCAGAAGAAGCAGAGTATGTTAGGGCTGAATCTGAATGACAGGGTAAGAAATTGTGTAATAAGAGAAGAGTGTGGTTTGCAAGATGTTGTTGTCACCAGGATTAAGAAAGGAATGCTTCGGTGGTTTGGTCATGTGGAAAGAATGAATGAGGAAAGAGTGACAAAGAAAATTTATGGTGCAGAAGTGAATGGCAGAGTCGGAAAGGGACATCTTAGGCGAAAATTTATCGACCAAATTGGCGTATTATTGAAAACGGGCCAAATTAGGAGTACTCTTAACCGACGAGCATGTATGCATAGGTGTATGGATGTGAAGGAGGCAAGAGAGGTGTGTCAGGATCGTGCCAAATGGAAGTCTGTAGTCTCTGCCTACCCCTCTGGGTGACAGGCGTGAGTGTTTATAGATTATAGCTTGTTGATTGACAAAGCTAGATAACAAATGATAGTTTAGCTTAGTTTACGACCATCTCCATGTGTAAGTGCATATTTTGCGTGTGGGCAGGAATAATGTGGTTATTTGAGCCATGAAATCTCCCCAAAGTAGTTCAACAGTCCTTTGATGTTGCAAGCAACTTCGGGGAGCGATTTGACAATTAAAAACTATGTGCTGATAGTAGCCGCCTCCGCCGGTATAACTTTCAATTAAAATTTATTGGAACCTAAATCAGAATCGAAAGTACATAATCAATCGGAAGTTCCGAAATTTCGGAATCGGAATCGAACCTCCGTAACATCTCTAATTGGTATTATTGGTTCCGGCCCTCTAGTGCCTAAAGCTGATACCGTTCTGGCCCGTTCATCAGCTACATTGTTGCCTCTGGATCCACTGTGTCCCTTAATCCAGAGTCATATTGTTGTGCTTCACCACATTCACCTCATTATTTAGTTCACCACATTACAACTCAGAGCTTGTAGTACCGCCATAATGTCAGTCAGTATTCTGATGGAGAAGTCTTACCTTCCTAGCACAGATTGCTATGACTGCTTGGACGATACCCATACATTCCACCTGAAAGATTGTGCTTGGGTACCCAGTGGTGTACATACGTGGATATTAAGGTCTTTAGAGAAAGTTCCAGATCCTACATCTTCATTTGTTTTAGAACCACCTGTGGAAACTTAAGCTCTTTTGGGCTTAATCCCTCCGGTTGGTTGGTTTCATTTAATTGTATCTTATATACTTCTTATCAAATACAAATACGATAAGTTTTGGGATCTTATCGCACTTGTAAGATTTTTGTGTAAATTCTATCAATTACACCTGTATGAGGGACTGTACTCTTACTTTATTTAGGGTTTTGAGTCTAATGGTAGCCAAAGTTGCTTCTTGTTGTATGTGTAGATGAAGCGGGGTTAGCTCCAGTATAGATTGTTTTGTGTAGTTTGTATGCAGTCTGTGGCAGCCATACATCCCAATCTCTGGTAATGCTGAAGTTTTTTTATAGTGGTGATATATATAGTGGTGGCCGTATGTGTTTGCCAATCAGGTTTCTGCATTATCAGAAAGTTATACTAGCTTTGTTGATTTTGTTTTCTATGTGCTTATCCCAGTTGCATTTACTGTCCAAGGTAAGACTTAAGTATTTTACGTCAGAGGATTAGTTATTCAGCATTCGTTTTTGTGTGAACATTACTAGAACATATTCCTTGAACCATCTCTCCACTATACGGAGAGCCGCTTGGGTCAGGTCGCACACCATGCTTGCTGTCTCTCCAGAGACCAGTATAGTCAGATCATCTGCATAACCTATTGTGTAGAAATGATTAGCATTTAATTTGCTAATGAGTTCATTAATGACCATACTACTTCACACTACAGGGGAGGTGAAAGAACCCCACCCTGCGAGCATCCTTTCTTGATCTGAATTGTTTGCGATTCACCAGCAATATATTCATTGTTCGTGTACTGAGCATGTTTACTATCCAGTCAATCAGTGCGGGTTCAACTTTATGTCTACTTAGTGCACTTTTTATGCTGGCGAAGTTTGTTCTGTCAAAAGCACCTTCTATGTCTATGAAGGAGCCTAGACATATTACTTTGTAACTTTGTATTGGATGGCCTCTTCAATCACTTACCATCCACCAACCACTTACCATCAGGTGGACTGTGTGCTTGCTTATTTGTCCCACTTATACCTAAAAAAACTATTTCTAATTTGTTATTTGTTGTTAATTATTGTATAATTTTAATGATTGTAAACTGACTTTTTTTTCAAAAAAAGTCCCGCTGGATTTCTCACTGGTTCTTCCCAGGACAGAGGTATTTTCCTAACCATTGGTGAATTAAGCATGAGACTGACTTTCAATAATAATTATTATAATCTATATATGTATCGAATAAAAAGGTTTCTATTCTATTTTCTATTCATTGACCTACTACTAAATACACACGTACGAATTAGCACACCCCGACTCCACGTAGTCTTGACTGCCCTACCCCTAGTGTTTTTGTAAAGCCGTAGGCACAGAGGGAGAGCAGCCCCCGCCCGCTGTAGCAAATCGCAGGTACCTAAGTGAGCCGAAGCTGCGGAGGCTAGCATGGGTGCCTGTGAGTTGCTACGCAAGGGCGAAGGGGCTGCACTTCCCGCAGTGCCGAAGCCATTGCAGAAGTAACTTTGCGTCAATATTCCTGTATAAAGTGGGTTATATTTTACAATACAGTATGGCATTTCGGACCTGTACGGTACAGCCATTTTCAGTAGGGGATGTGATGTTGATAATACCTGGATTGGGAGACTAGGAAAGTCACATATAAATATTTTTAGTAAGATTTCAAATCATAAATTTCAGATGCGAGGAATTACATCTGAAGCAATGGTCATGTGTGCATCATCTGATAAGGTTGAAGTTCTTATCCCACCAAGTGCAGCCATCCCTGGTGACCTAGTGCATTGCGAGGATTACCCGCGCGAACCAGAAGTCCAATTAAATCCTAAGAAAAAGATATTTGAGATTTGTGCTCCGGATTTAAAAACAAACAATGAAAAAGTTGCATGCTACAAGGGAAGCCCTCTAATTGTACCCGGGAAAGGACCTATAGTTGCCCCTACATTAAAGGGAGTAAATGTAAAATAAAATGTAATTATTTGTTATATTTATTAAATAAAAATCAAATCTAAATTTGAATTTTTTTACTGTATGTTACTAAAAAGTTCATCATCTTATGTAAAAAAACTCATTGCATGTACTAAATATATCAAAATCAAATTCCAAGAAATTGGTGATGTCCAGTAGAATTGAATTACCTGTGCCAGAGTTTTGGCTCGGTGCTTAGTAATGCGCCTGCGCAGCATAGCATTGGTACCTATACAATTGTGGGGCATCATGTAGCAATTAGGCGCTTTCATATAAGGCTAGTGGTTTTAGTTAGACTTATAAGAAGTATGACTTCATTTCATAATCACAGCCTATCAAAAGTCTACAGCCTCCCCCATAGATTGCCCACTTACTGCCACTTGTACACACAGTTGTTGGCAATTGAAGTTTTTTTTATTCATCAATTTTTTTTCAATCAATCTCCCGTTACATTCCCATGGGCTGATGGTGTAGTGCATTCTCTTTGCCACAACTACACGGCAAAGAAGTATAACAAGTGTTTCCCTAATTATACAGCAAGTCGCGCATATACAAGCTTACGAGAGTATATAATATAATATATAATAATAATAATATAAATTTATTGACATATAGATTTAACAAATGTAAGCAAGAACAGTAGGCTATACATCTAAACAATGTTCAAGGTGAGATATATAAATATTTTCCGTTGGACCCCAAACTAGGATAATCCTGTATCTTGGGGTCCGAGAGCGCAAGTTAACTAGAGAATCGTACACAGTCTAACAAAAGGAGACATATTTTTTCTATACTGAAATTATCATAGTGCAGTGTAATTTCACTTGAAAGTGTGTGTGTGTGTGTGTGTGTGTGCGTGTGTGCGCGCGTGTGTGTGGTGTATTCTGCTAGTGACGTTTGAATATATCCTCAGTTTCCTCATATGTTAACGTCATTAGACGTTTTCTAATAAGTTGACAGACCTGTGAGGTCTTGAGGTTTCTGATGTTATGATATCGTGATATTTTATTATAAATTCGTGGATGAAAGAAACGTGGCAGGTGACAAGCAAAAAACGTTTTAATGTTAGGGACGGGGATTTTGTATACCCTTTTATTTAAAAGCTGTTGGTAGTTAGGCAGTTTTAAAACGTTGTTATGACATCTCTTTACTACTTTTAATATATACAACTGGCGAACAGATAGCACACGAGATAAGTTGAATACCTCTCTGGTGGGAAATCGCACTGGTTTTTTAAGCAAGGTTTTAAGCAAAGCTCGTTGAGGTCTCTCTATTCTTATATTGTGAGTTTTTGCAGCACCTCCCCATGCCGTAATACAGTATTGTACAATGGACTGGCACATTGCATAGTATAACATTTTGAGAATATTTATGTTAGCACTGTTGCGTATTAGTTTGAATACATAGATAAGTTTTCGTTTTAACTCTAGCAGCCAGATTTGTGATATGTGGTGAGTGATTGTGGCATATTTTATTGTTTCCACTGCATCTATCGATTGGCAATCGCATGTACAAGATAGGGCACCACAAGGGGAACTTGGTGTTCGGCATCTATGAACTTTTAAATTAACCAATGAAGGAGGTCTAGAAGCCCGAGTCTTGTGAAACGCTATGTATTTTGACTTAGCGGTATTCAAAGTGAGGAGGTTCATGTCCAGCCATTGAACTATACGCGCAAGACCATGTTCAGCCCATTTGTGCACGTCTGTCCACCTGCGTTCATGAAAGAGCACTACTGTGTCGTCTGCGAAACAGATTAGTTACGCATTATTGATATTTAAATTTAGGATGTCATTCATGTAGATGGCAAACAGGCTCGGTCCCAAAATACTTCCCTGTGGGACACCGTACTGAACAGAAAGATCGTCACTTCTGCAATTTAGTACTTGAACACATTGTTTCCTGTTCGCTAAGTAGCTATGGAACCAGTTCCAGACCGTACCCCTGATCCCCATGGCCTCCAATTTCTTCAATAGGATAGGCACAGAGACGGTATCAAAAGCTTTGGCGAGATCCAAGAAGACGCCGATACATCCTTCACCTTTATCTAAATAATCCGTGATCAGCTCTGTTAACAAAACTACAGCATCTTCCGTAGATTTACCTCGCCTAAATCCGAACTGTCTTTGAGAAAGAATATTTTGTTTTTCAATGTAGTTAACAAGACGTTTGTTAACCACTTTTTCTAATATTTTTGAGAAAATACACAAAAGAGATATTGGTCTAAAGCTATCCGGATTGTCTTTGGGACCAGTTTTGTAAATTGGACTGACAATAGCTAATTTCCATTTTTCAGGAAAAGTTTCACTTGCTAAACTTAAATTAATCATGTGCGTCAACGGCTCTAGTATAACGTTTTTAATAGTTTTTATTAATAAAGGGGTACAACTTCGGATCAAAACCGGGGGCACTATCGTTCTTAAGTGATTCAATCACTGTAGAGACTTCGGTTGTATCGGTTGGGTAGAGATAGATTGTACCCTGATGACAAGTTTGAATATTAAATTCAGAGGCCAAAGTTTCCTCTGTAATTTGTAAACTATTGAGGATTTTATCAGCTAATTTTTTACCTATTGTGGAGAAGTATTGATTACAGGTTCAATGAGTCTCGCGGGTCACCTTTAATCTTTGTGAGTTCGCTGGCAACAGTATTAATTTTGCGTATCTCACAAATGTTTTTTATACATTGCCAGAGTTTTTTAGGGTTCTTATGATGTTTTTGAAATTCTGCATTTTCATCGTTCGCTTTAACTTTATGTAATAGATCATTGCAGAAATTACGGTACCGTTTGTACGTTAGTCCTAGAACGAGATCATTTGGGTTCTTTTTTTACTCGACTATGTAACTTGTCACGGTGACGCATGCATCTCATTAGGCCAGGAGTTAACCAAGGCCTGAGATTGAACTTTGAGCGACTAATCCTAACCTGACGAGTGTGTAAGCGTATCGCCGTTTCAATCAGGTTATTCATGTTATTCACCGCATCATTAACGTCACTTGCACCGGTAATTAACGACCAATCTTTGTTTTTCAAATACGCAAGAACCCCATCAAAATCAGTGATAGATCTTACCCTGCTAATCTTAGTCGCTTTTCTATTAGACAACCCTAAGCCTATCATTGTTAATTTGTGATCAGTTAATGCAGAATCACAGACTATACCGATTGCTGGTTTTGTAGAATTAGTGAAAAGATCCAGACAAGAGTTGTATCTCGTAGGTTTAGTTATAGCTGGAATCAAACCATGGCTAGCCATTAAACACAGATAGTCAGATCGATGAGAGTCTAATTCGTCAGATATCAGGTTTATATTAATGTCACCAGCTACAATAATAGGAATAGGAAACTTTAGTGTTAGAATGAATTGTAGAATCAAGTGATTGTATAAAACGGTCCGGATTATTGAACGAAGGAGATCGATAAATCCCAAGAAGTGTAAGTGTATTTTCTATTGTTAATTTGCAGATAATTTGCGTCATCCAATGTAGGTTCCGATACAGAAACATTCCATACGTCTTTTATGTACGTAACGACACCGCCATTTTTATTTATAAATTTATAATAAATTGTAAAAAGGGGATATATAAATATTATTACTTCCAGTCACTAAAGTCACTCGTGATAAAAGATGTAAGTAAACAGTAATATCTGTTAATGGTAAGGTTAGCCCGAGAAAGAATAACCTGTTTATCGTGAAACGATTTTTGCATTTGTTTGTTCTGTTCAGTTTTTTTGTAACAAAGTATTAAAAGTGTAATATTGAAGATAGTTAGATGTTTGTATTGATGCAGTAGTTCATGAATGCTATAGTGTATGAGAGTATGTGTTAAATTGTTGTATTTATGTATGTTAAAAGGTACGCTAATTAATCTAAAATTACATGATAAATACCATACTAAGTAAATATTATACAATTTATAAGATTGAGATGTATACATTATTATAAGTGAGCTGTTATTGTGAATTAAAAACATACAGTAAAAATAAAAAAAATAAGAAAAAATAACATGAAAAAGGCTAATACAGCAATTGTTGATTACTGCTACCAACTGGAGCTGTGGCAGCCAATTCCTCAGGACTGAGATGACGCTCCAAATCAGAGAGGTTCCGTATGGTGATGGCAGGACTTCCTTCTCGCCTACGAATGTGGATGTAACCCTGCTTAACCCAACAATACTTATAACCGGCCTCTTTAGCTCGTATTCTTGTCTCTCGAAATAACCACCGGTTATGTTTCGTCAGATGTTCATTGAAATATAGCTTCCTGGTGGGGCTGCATCCTGGTAGGACCTCCTAGATGCTTTAAGGAATTCTTCTCGTTTGTTTTTGCGCAGGAAACGTATAATCACTGGGCGTGGGAGCTTATTTTCCGATGCTAGAACCTTATGCTGTCCTGCTCGGATAACGCAGTCGATATCCTCTGTTATCAAACTCACCCCAATTTTGCTGGCGGTAACAAGTATTACGTGCTCAAGACTTTCGTTTGGGTTTTCGTTGAGTCCTATAATCTCTAGCTCATTTCGAATAGCGGATTGAGCCTGGGCGTTAATCTGTTCCTGGAGAGAGGATATAGGCGCAGTAAGTTTGGCCACTTTTAATGTATATGTTTTAGCCTCTTGAATTGTTTTTTCAGCATTTACCATGCGATTTTCAAGTGATTCCAGTTTTGTAGTACACTGGAGAAGGCAATCCGATAGATTTTCCATAACTCCCTTAATGCTGTTAGATTCCTCTCGCAATAATCTTATTTCCGTGGTAAGCGAAGCAAGGTTGTCATTTATAGACGTTACCGAAGGAGCCTGGTTAATCTCAACATTAGGTGATAAGGTGGCCTTTCGCTTTGTAGGGCGAGCTGTGACGTTATTGTAAAAATCTGTTGGAGATGCACAAATTGGGTTGTTTGAATTATCTAGTTTCGGCCCCTTACATTGACAGCTTGGGAAAAGCCAGTTTGTTAAATATTCGTCAGAATAGGAGTTGTACTCCTGTGCTGATACAT